AGGCAAAGTATTGCTTTCTTCACTTCATCGTGCCCCCAAATCGATGGTGCTAACGACCTTGCCAACGTATCGAATATATTCTTTAAAAGAAGTGCAAATATTCAGATTTTAGGCTTCAAAATTGCTCAAAAAGACATAAAGCACAATCTTCACCAATATAGCATATGTACACATGCAAAACAGTATATTCTAACCTTTTGTCGGCTCATTTTTCGAATATTTTTAATATCATCTGGCAAGAAATTTGGCTGCATTTCCTTGCTTAATAACTGTATATTATTGGAAATGATAATCGACCTACAATTTATAATTATAACTACTTATTTGTGATAATTATGACTCCATCCCATTGTAACTTTAAAAAGTGACTTGTATTAACCCGTTTTTCTACTTCTAACTCTTTGACTGAATGACCTCATGAATCTTCCTCTGCCAAAAGTTTTACTCCATGAGATCTTTCACCTGCCGCTTCAATACAAGCAGCATGAAATTTTCCCATTGAGATGTATTACACAACAGAGTAAAAAACAGGATAAACTTAAGCGAATATTTTTAAACATAAGGATAAGTACTGGACAAGTAGTACTCCTATTATAAAAACATCACATCATTTGCATGTCATCTGATCAAAATGTAATATTATCCACTGAACTTTTGATCCAGGCACAACATTTATATATCATTCTGACCAGATAAAAATTTTTTCTATTGTTCTGAATAGAAAAGTTCAATAAAAACAGATACTTAACATCTCAAGATAGAAGTTACCTAAACCAAATGGCTTCAAATAAAATATTCGATTTGTAATTGAAAATCTTCAAGAATCCCAAATTTCAGACTTATATATGTTAAGAATCTCAGACTTCAGACTTATATAGGCCAGATCAAGGTGATGCAGTTAATCCAAGGTACACAATGTTAGGGATATATGCATGAAGGTAAAGGAAAAAACTCTACTAAAACTGGAGATTCCGTTTTGCAAAAGTATGCTTCATTAAGTCATATAAAATAACCTTAGTCACCAGGCACAGGGTTAACTACCAAGAATTACATCCAAATTAAATGAAAAGAAAGAGCATTCTACTATTAAAAAATTTTAATTCTACACGGATTTATAAAGCAAGAAGAATTATTTGAAATAAAAAACAATTGGGAGATGGAAACCGGTAGAAGCAGTAGCGGGAATAAAACGCTATTTCAGCAAAACCTATCCTAAAACGCACCACTGTTTTCCATTATATTATCATGAACAAATGATTGCTGCTTCTCAATAATTATCATTCTTATCTAGTCCACCTCATCACGTACCTGAAACTGCCACTGGTGTAACCGTTTTGTTTGTTCGGCAAACATCTGTACAAACCTATAACCCGGACACGATCGCCAGGCTTACAATTGTCGGCTAAGTCATCGTCGGCTACAACATCTATTGAACGTGGCAGTTGTCCTGGTGGTGCGTACTCTGGCATCTCCTTAAGTAGAAAAGTGTCGGGTATTCAAGTTTTTAATTGCTAATTTGAAAAAAAATATATTCCCATCCTTTTGCTACATATCTTATCTCGCTTTGAAAATACGTAAATACATGATATACATAATCTAAACTAAAAAAAAACTAATACCGTCAAACGGTCATATACGTATGTTGTCAGATCTTTCAGCAACAAATTGGAAAAATCAACAAGAAAAGTCTAATTTCGAGAAAGAGCAAGCAATTTGAAGTCCGGAAAAGATACCTGGATTGAAAATGTTTGATGATCTCGATAGGTACTTAAACCATATTCGGTTTCCAGTGGATTTTTATTCTCATCCTGAAAGGAAACAAAAAGGAAAAGATACTGATCAAAAGCAGAATCATATATTGCTACTACAGATAGATCGTTCGCTAACACCTAACTCCGTAGGGTAAACGTTGCTGCATGGGAAAGCGTCGTATGATGTTAAATCGGTGTAACGACGTTCAAATGTCTTTTTAGTTGCAGGACAGTAGTGTACGCTACGGACCACTTTCGGACGCAGTGCAGAACCTGTAAATGTCATTTCAACATTTCCATCAAATTAACAGTGTATAATTAGATTAATCAGCACAATGTTTTGCTATCCCTGAAGTTATTAAGAGTTTTCCACAACATAACTAAGTTTTTTATCCATGAATATTCGATTATCGATTGCTAAAGAATAACCTAATTCAAGTCACTAAGCGTTATTATCCATTTCGAAAGCCATAATGTAGGAGCACAGAACTAATTTTGCATTAAAATCAGCCAGCTAGAACCTTTGCCGGGATGCTATCATTTACACAGTACGTTAGCTAAATGATACCGTAACGCTTTTTCAGAAACTACAGTATAGATTCTTCCTAACAGAAACTTATAACATTATTACTTTCGCTGATCTTTTTCAGTTTCTTCCCAGCCTATTGATTTCCTAAATCCATCGGTTGATGTAATTAACCTTTAAAAATACTTCATTTCTAATGGAATTTAATTTAAAATATCTTACACTTGGTGACGATACCCTCGCAGCAAACCATACTACCGAGAAAATGCGACTTCAATGTTCGAGGATTCACATGTCGATCACCAAAGCTTCCTTCAAAGCCAACGTTGAAATCCCGAGTCTTCCCGTATTCTGGATCTAACCGGCTTACATAATCCTTCATCGCTTGTTGCAAACATAAAATTTCAGGTACGAAATTTCGTAGTAGTCTAAATTTTAATTACTTTGTAGTTCATGGATGAATTCTGACAAGCTCTAATCGATTACCTAATAAGTGACTAGGATAAGGGAAATATTATCGTTATGTTCCAATCTATTAACGTAAAAATATCACCATTTAATTATGATTAGGATGATCTAAGACGCCTAAAGTGATACTTGAGACAGGAAGGGAAGGATAAACTCACCCAGTGACTCGCTGCGGAAGCTTTTTCCGAAGTTCATTCAAGTTGATGATAATTCTTGATCCATTATCCTTGATCATATCTTCGCATTTTTGCAAATAAACTTTGTCACCACCCTCAAGCAAATAGACAAAACATTAATTCAGAAAGTGATTCAGCATCACATATCACTGGTTTATGCCATCTGTCAAACATTATTAGCGTCAACCTTTATGGGACTTCCTACGCCTTTATCGGACCTCCCCACAATTTAATAATTCGTTGAGAGCTTAATATATCTTGCCAAAGTCTATCATATCTCGTTAAAAGCTTATCGTGACGCTGAAAATTTACCAACCAGATGAAATGATTCATGAATGAATCATTATGAAATATCAAATAAGCAAACGCCGCTACCAGTTATGTATCTCCCGTAGAACTACAGAACTAAAAATGAGAAAATTTGTAGTGCAACATACAGAATCATCCAGGAAGTTCAGATATTCCAACGTGATTTCACGTGCTCGATTCTCATCTTCACGACTGATTAAATCCATAGTATGTAGATAACTAAATTGTATCTAAGCTGAAAATTTGAACTATATCTAACCTGAAAATTTCCCCTTGGACTTAACTTTCGGAAATTTCCATCCACATCCTCATTTTCGTATCATTCTAAGAAGACCTTTTTTATTTTCCGATTGAATACCATCATTAAACTATGCAAAACAGGAAGCGGCTCAAAAAAAAATGGAAATTTGATGTAACGATTTTAGCAATTTTCAAATCACTCCGAAATTTCAAGAATTTCAAAATCGGTTCATTGGATAATTAAACCGATTTATATACTTAAATACATAACCTAAGCAACTGCTAAGTAATGATTATCGATCAGCGCCAAACATTACAATACTTGAGTAGCCGGCATGAATTATCACGTTACAAATTACATATTTGAATATTTGACGTGTACTGAACGTTCATAATTAATAGTATTTACACACTAATTACAAGCAAAATGCTAGTACTTGAATACTAATGCTAACCAATCAAAGACTCTGTAAACTTTTATATAAATCACCGTAGTCAAGTAATTTTGAGTAATTCTAAATTTCAACAGTTTTTATTTAACGCGCCTAAAAATTTAAATTTAAACTCCAATATGAAATAATAACAGCTCAAGAAATCAATGAGTATGATTATAACATTGGCTTTCGAATAGTGACATTATTTCGACCTCTGACCTACAAAGGAGACTTATCTAAAACATAACTTATCTCTCCCGATTTCTCCTGACGAAAAATTACTATTTGGAAAAGATTTGCCTAAAAAGAAAAACGATAGCTTTAGGTAGTGCATAAAAGAATAGCCAATTGAAAAGTTGCAATTCCGTTAAGCGAAAAAGAAACTGAAGAAGTATTTCGAGGAATATATATATACATATATATATATATATATATATCAACACTTGTTAAAGGTAATTAACAAGGGCTAAAAATTTATTCTATTGCTCAAAGTACCACTTAAACATTCAACGTTTAAAAACTTTAAAAGTTTGGCAATATTCCCCTACAAAATTAGTTACTTCTCTATTTTCAAAAAATTTGAAAGGAAACGAAAAAACTTTTTTCCTATTTCTTGATTAAAATATTCCTGTTTTCCATTATCTGAAAATATGTCGAAAATTTTTTCAGAATAAAAGTGAAAATATCTCCACTCGTTAACTGTTTGCTTTTTTCCAACTTTCTGCATTGAAATTGCGAGAGTTGAATTTAAACTTCAAAGATGATAATTGACTTTAAATCCATTGAAAGAAGTGAATCGAACTAAATAAAAGCCAATGCTGTAGAAAAAACATTTTAGTTATAAAATTCTCTTATTTAAAAATGTTTTTCATTAATTCCAGTATTCACGCTCCTCCATACTTTTTAATTTCTAATCAATAATTGGTGGTGAACTCAACTGAATCTGAATATAATATTATATCTAATAGAAAAACCTTAAATGTAAAGAAATCACTGGTAAAAACGACTACGTCATTATGAGATCAAGACTTGAAAAAGACTGGGACGATAAATTTGCTATAGAACGTGTGGCATAACGCTCCCGAACAACATGAACATGGGCCGCGTTATCCTTCTGGCCTATCGTGAACCTGCCGGTGTTTGGGGATCTGGTGGAATAAGTAGTTGGGTTTGCTGTCGATTGTGTGGTGGAATCCGAGGTAACTTGGTAGATGTTGTAAGACTCGTGGGAAGGTTATAGTTAGGCTAGCGGTTATGAATTATACCCGTGTCTAGGAAAATTTTCGGGGAGAAATTTGAACATGCTATAATTCAATTTCTTCTTCACGGTACCTCTTCTGTCGAGGAAGAATATCTTGCATGTCCGAATGAAATAGCGAGTTGTGCTAGCGAATAGCTTATGTCTCTGGTAAAGGTCTCCCATGTCAGATACGTCTCAACTGAGTGGTTAGACATAATGTATGTATGCACGGATGAGATGGGCTCGCCAGCCCCCCTGGCAATCATTCCAGGAGAGGGGCAACTCTAATTCTAAATGGGGCAGAAAGAGCTCGTTCAGCCTCGTAAGGCCATTTACTTGAGGGAAGGATGCTCTAACAAAACCTACGTCCTGAACTTCACTGTCACCGTGCTAGCTTGCTAAAAAATGCTTGGTTTAATTGCTGACTGGTTTGTTTTTTTTTTTTCTTTAAAAGATGGGATCAATTCTACACACGCTTCGCCTAACCAAAAAAATTCTTTACGCAGATTGAAGGAAACATTCACATTTGTAGCGTTTGCATCAAGCATGGGTAGAGCACTTCCCCAATCTTCGTTCGCGAAGCTTAGCTATAATGATGAGCATAATGCGATTTTAGAAATTAAGAGGATGCAGTCAGATTTTATTTTTTCCCTGGGATCGGCAAATTCTTGCAGGGGAATTCATTCATAAAAAGCCAGCTGATTTGATAAATAATTGCCGAGTCCAGAATTGTCCACTCCCGATGTTTCCGAGACTGTCACGCTGCGGTATCGTTGATAAATTTACGAGATATTGTAAAATCGGTAAGAAACGAGCATACTATGTCTATTATTTTCAGGATTCTCGATTTGATTGGTGATGGGTATATCACGTGATAATTGGCATAAGCGACGTGCTACTGGTGGAAAGAGATGTCCACCACACAAGAAGAGGAAGTTTGAGCTTGGGCGTCCAGCGTCAAATACAAAAGTGAATTAATTGACCTTATGTCTTCTTTTTTTTGTTTGAAAGCTGCTGAACGTTTTTGACGATTACATGTTGGAAAGATTATGAATTGAAGTCTCCATTTCGTATTTTGGATATTTTTCTCATCATTTTGTCTGCAACTACTAGAAATTGCAAATGTGTTGCAAAATTTGTCAAAAGAAATTCTGCGTAAGTTGGGAAGCTATCAGTGTGAATGATGCTAGAAAGATCTGGATGCTTATCATCAAACCTTACATCCTAAGAATTGTGTCATCATTGCAAAAAGATAAACTCGAAATTAGAACAGGTTTTCTGTAGAGGACAACAAGCAATCTGACAGAACTGATAACGATATCCCTTATTCGGTTAGTGGACAAATCTTCTATAAGAACTATGTTTTACAGATTGGTCCAAAAAGAATCCATCTTGTTCGTTGCCGCGGTGGAAATATCAAACATCGTGCACTGAGACTTGATGTTGGTACATTTTCATGGGGATCAGAAGGTTCTTTTATTATTCCTTCTTATGTCTTTTTTTTTTTTTTTCTGTGTTAATAAGAGGTAGTTGAATTCATGTCACGTCAGTGATATTTATCCATATTCAAATGGAATGGTACATTTGTTGAGATGTTTGATGTTTACTTTGTAATAGTTGTTCTGGTTACAGGTTGCACACGTAAAACACGTATCGTGGACACCGTATATAACGCATCCAACAATGAATTAGTGCGTACTAAGACACTAGTAAAAAATTCCATAATTACTGTTGATGCTGTTCCATTCCGTCAGTGGTACGAAGCACACTATGCCGTTCCGTTGGCACGTAAAAAAGGTGCAAAGCTGATGGATGAAGAGGAAGCACGGATCAACAAGAGGCGTTCAAAGAAGCTACGAGCAAAATATACAGAACGACAGAAATTTGCTGAGGTTGAGCCACATCTTATCGAACAGTTTCAGAGCGGTCGGTTATTAGGTTCGTCTTTTTCTTCCTTTTTGAACTAAAGTTTGGAAAATGATGGAGAGTGAACGATGTATGAAGGAGGAGAGAATGTGATTTATTGTTAATCAGTTGATTAGGCTTGTAATCCGCATTGTATGATCTTGAGTGGAAACAGCATACAATAGTCTTGGTTTGCTCTAATATGTTCAGTAGTTTACGAATAATTATGTACTTGAGGGATTAAAGGCCGTATGGTTTTTTGGTCATTTGATTCGTCTACAGATCGTCAAGCATGAATGCAGTTTTGTCATGGGCTAGTAGTAAATTGCGATAATTATAATTTACGAAGGAAGGACTTGTAAGTTCAACTTCTACCTGACAACCTTCAAATGTTGCCAAGCGAGAACAGAGTCACAGTGTGAGTAAGCTGTCTTTCTCTGTGCTAAGTGTCTCGGAAATCATATCAGCCTTCAAATGCGGGTCGTTCTACTATTCTGCTGACGATCTCACCGAAGGCCAGAACAAGCGTTCATTTTTAGAAATGTTTTAATTTGTTTTCGTAGGTCTGTTTTTGTAACGAAATTTTTTTCAGCTTGTATCAGCTCTCGTCCGGGTCAGGTTGGTCGAGCTGATGGCTATATATTAGAGGGTAAAGAGCTGGAGTTCTACTTGCGTAAAATCCGAGCTAAGAAAGCAAAGTAATGAGCACTCTGTTTATTCGATAAACATTGGTAACAGTTTGTTATGTTTTTCTGGTTGGAAAAAGTTTCTCTGTTATTACCAGATAAATCTATTACATCTCTTTCTATCGGGACTTATAAAACTGCATAATGAACAAACAAGGAATGGCGGGTCGAATTTTTGGGCATAATGGAGGAAAAAGGTTTTTTTTCTTTGTATTGTTAAAATGGTCTTAGTGACCGTTGTCGTGGTATTTTTGAAATTGTACCGAGTTGTGGACTACACCAAAAAATCATGACATCACAATGTGTGACAAAAATAATTTACGAAAGGCATAGTATGCTGCTATTAAAACAGACTTTAAACAAATCTTTGAAGGAACTAACTTTCCCAAATGTTACATTCTCCTTTTTTTGCATCAGTAAGGACATCACGCCAAGTGGAGTTCGACGATTGAAATAAAGAATTCCGCATGCTGAAATAAGGATTCCATTAGATCGAATGAATAAAAAGAAAGGGAAACTATAAGTGGATAGTATAAGTAAATATTTACTTCTTCCAGGCAAAATTTTTGCCATCCATATCGTTATATGATTCAACCTGGTAGTTGTCACAGCCTCTCATCACAATATGAATAAAGAGCCAAGTGCATCCCAACTTCTCAACGTTTGGCCTGTAAGAATCCAATAAATATACACTGAAGTAATGGGAAAATTCAAACCCTGATATTCGAAAAAAGGAAAAAAAATCAAAACTTTGCCCTGGAAGTCGTCTTGAAATCATGCATGCACTTCTTTGCATGCAACGATTGTTATGGTTACACAATCCAGTTGTTATAGTACAAGCGACTACAACTCGTGGGATATAAGGTCCTTTTACTTGATATGTGATCAACTTACTTACTCTACCTTCCTTTTTCCCGATATGCATTCTACTTCTGCTACAGTAACCATCCTTCTTCTTTCTGCAGAAGAGAATGCATTTATTTTCCAAGGCAAACAACTATAATGCGTGATATGGTTATTTGTAAAGTTTTAAAATATTTCAAGTTGAATTGCACCATATCGAATTTACCCGCGAAAACATTGTAAACTTACATTATAATCCCCCTAACAAATGGTTAATGTCTGTTCAACCGAACCAGCTGCAGTCAATCTCATTTACTCTCAACAACACTCAAACAACGTTTTTACATTCGCGATCCAATTAAACAAAAAGTACTCTAAATAAAAACCTAAAGAAATTATTCAAGTGCTGCAATACACCTGGTGGTTGAGGGATATTGATAACAGTGTTGGAGGTAGCGGAAAATTCAAAACGGTACGAATTATCAATATTCATGAACGGCATTGCATCCGATCAATCGGTATCATTTAACTGCTGTTGAAACATTTCAGCAATTTCCTCGCCCATCAGTGGACCACTTTGATCAACCGATGCAAATAACCATAATCAATATCACATCTTAAGCATCTTCCATCACTTCAAGTTTAGAAGTTTAGCTAGGTGTAAGCGAGACCTAAAAAAAAAAGAAAAAACAAATATATGTACAATCATTTAAAGAAACTGGCTATTATCATAATTTTTTACGTATCATGATATGTCACCTTTAACCAAACAAATGATTCCATACTCTGAACTTTAATTTTTTAATCGTTTCTTTTTGTTCTTTTGAAAGATGATGTTAAATGAATTGGGACATCTCTGTGTCATTAATTTCATTATTCTAATGAAATAAGGAAACAAAAAAAAAAATAAGACATACGTCTCATATTATTACAATTTCTGATATATTAAATCAAATCGAAGTCGGTTCAAGATTTTGTATAGGTTTATTTTATCAAAATTGCTTCAATTGACGTATCTAATTCTACTAATTATATTTTGAAGCTACCACTGTTTCTGGATTTTTTGGATCTACCAAAAAGTGAACTTTACCAAATGCACCTTGAAAATAGTTTTAAAATTTTAAGACATTTCAAGAAATTCAAAGTTTTAAAATTTTTTCACAAAAAAGCAAGAAATTAATGGAATTTAAGAAAAATAAGTTACTTGAAATGGGCGGAATTTTGGAAGAAAAAAAAGAACAATGAAAAGATTGATTTTCTGAAACCTCGATACTTTTTGGTGGCAAAATCTGTCATTATCAACCACCGCTTAGTTTTTATATTTCATATTGAAATTTTTTAGATTGAATACGAATCCATTTTTTTAAATTATGGGTGATATTTTTCGAACATACCTAAGAATTTTCATCCAAATGTTTGGGTTAATGAGAATTTTCAAGAATCCTTAATTTTTAGGCCAATTTCGTGATAATTTAGGGTTTCTGATAATTTTGATCAGTGTGTTATCGACCTGATGTATTGAATACTGTCAAAAATCACTGCCCATGTTGCACACTACCGAACACACCAAAAGAATTTCATTTAAGTATTTTTCATTAATGTGAGTTTTTAAAAAATCCTCACTTTTTTGGCTATTTTGATAAAAATTTGTGATAAGGTGTGTTCGCTAGTGAACAACATGATCAGTGATTTTTGATAGCAACCAAACTGTCAGATGGATGAGACAATAATCAAAAATGGCAACAACTTTATCAAATTTTGGTCAAAATAGTCTGAAAATTAAGGATTTTTTAAAAATTCTCATAAATCCTAAATACTTGAATCAAAATTTTTAAATGTGTTCACTAGTGGGCAACATGTTCAGTGATTTTTGACAGTAATCAATATCTCAAGTTGGTAACACATTGATCAAAAATGGAAAAACCTTATCAAATTTTAACGAAAATAACATGAAAATTGAGGTTTTTTAAAAATTCTCGCATTCGCTATCATATTCTTTAAACAAAGTTTACGAAGGAAAAGCGAAGAATGCATTAAGACATGAAGTATAACTATTGCGACAAGAGATGGAAAAATTCTTTTCGTCCAAGTGAAAACCAGGAAACTAGCTCATCTCATAGCAAGGAATTTCTAAGGAAAAACAAACAAATCGAATCTTCCTACTAATAAAATGTGTGGTAATAGAGATAACAAGTACGTACCATCAGATCTTGTGTTAATTTGAACCAAGTTCAATCATTAATAGGTATAATTCCACTGGACAATTACGAGTAAGCCACAACAATTAACATTTTCAATCAAAATCTAATAACCATTAGTAAATGCATCAACAAAACGATTATTAAACCATTCGAAACGCATTTTACTTTTCCCCAATTCCTTGTCTTATTTTAACAAATTGCTTGTGATATCTGTAAAAGCGATATTTAAAAATCATTTTGTGAGGGACACGAATATAGAGTAAGTATTGTTTATTTCAGCAATAAAGGATATCAAGAAATTATACTCCGAAACGTCAAAATTCAAAAACACAAACCATTATTGACGAAAGGCATTGCGCTTTGTAAAGGCATTCGCAAAGTAATTATATCTTCAGCATTGTTTAAATTATCCGAAAATCGCTTGAGCAAATTCAAAGAATGTTGCTTTATAGAAATGAAATTGATATGATCGGTAACCTTAATAATGCATATACTAATTCAATTCGCTAGCGCAAATCATTGATTAAAATCAATAAATCATTAATCAAAATTAAAATCATTAATTGATAAACCACTGATTAAAATTGAAACCATAAGTAACTGATTGAAATTAATTAAAACAGTAATCAGAATAAATTAATAAGAAGTCTTGATCGTTAGCAAAAATTTTTAGTATATTTGAATAATTTCCAACAAAGTAGATTATAATAATTATAGATGCAGTCAATTTGTTTTTAATTTAATGATAAGAACAAAAATAAAAGGGAGGACAAACAAGAAATTAATACTTGTTCCAGCAAATTCAATCTACAGCAGCTAAAACAACAGCAGTGTTCGATTATCAACCGCAAGTCCACATACAGTCCTTAAATATACTGTAATGCGAATGTTTCAAGTGTTACATATATATATATATATATATATATATATATATATATATATATATATATATATATATATATATAGTACTATA